AACCCTTTTGCGCAACTTTTAAACAGCCTTTAGGTATTCATGTGTTCAATTTCGGTATGTCTAGTGTAGTCTTGAGTCTCCAGCTTCAAATGAGTCATTGCGGGGAAGGAGTTGTAGTAGACGAATTGCTTTGAGGGTGAGTAGATAAGATCTAGATGTGATGGCTAGTACAGCCTTTAGGCTTTTTCATTATCGAATTCTCATTTTCCAAAAGCTGCATGAAAAGTCATTCATGCTTGGTTCTTCATTTGATGAAGCTGCGCAACAACAAGTGAGATGCACTGCCCTATAGCCATTGCCATACGCTGCTGTGACTACCGCATTCTTGCATATATTTCGATTCATCTCATTTTTATATATAAATCAAGCATGCAAGGTCTTGGACACTTTCCTTCAGAGAGTGTTTTGCATCGTAAGTCGCTATATTTAGATACGAAGAGGTTTTTACTTTTTTTAACATATTTCTCTGCGGTATTCTTTTATGAAATATGCTGCTAACGTTTTTCCTGATAACTTATTCGCTTTTTCAGAAATCGTAGAACAAAATTGACTGAAAAGTATCTGATGAGGGTTTAAATGGTGCTAAGAGTGTCTTAAAGGCACCGTCCGCAGTGAGGGTGATGATTTTGATGCTATGTTATGTAGGGGTTCCTCACTGAGCAATCGCCCAGTTTCGCCTAGAAGATGAACTCCAAAACGCGATAACCGCTCCAAAACGCAGGATCGTCTACGGTGGTTTCGCTCATCATCTGAATGGTTCGAAGATAACAACTTCAAACTTGGCTGTAACTGGCCAGAATTGAACAGATTGTATTTTTTAATGCGACATTTTATCCCAAAGCCCAATTCCTGACTTCAATCTTCAGACCACCCACGGTGATGAGCGGAGGTCGGGCGGCCGCTTTTACCTTCTGAAGCGGTTTTCTTAAAATTTTACCCTTGCCGACTAGGATTGCTTAATTAGGGGCCCCGCTATGATATGTCATCAAAATCTCACCCCTCTCGATACAAGATGGTGCATTTAATGCTCTTACTCTTATTAACAAATTTATATCAACTCTGTTTTTCAGCAAATTACATGGCGAATCTAAATAAAAAACTCAACTTGCCCTTGAAAACATTCGTTAATAAATCACATTTGCTGCCACCGCTAATAAATTTCAAAGCACACTTTGAGGTTTGAATAATTTACATGCTCGTTTCTGAAATCGTGGTCTAAAATTCAGGTCTCCCCTGTTTACAACCTGGCAACGTGCCAGATTGAGAAAGTTATGAGCACTTTTCGATCAGGAATGTTCTGCTACTTAAATCGTAGACAAAAATTTGAAAAGGCAGGAAGGAGCATAAGCACCGAATACTGGTACAATACGTTAGTTTATTTTGGCTGCTTCAGCTCAAGTTTGGGAAGCCTAAGCACTTTTGATGCTACACTTGGGTCGAAACAAGATTAGTTGCAGGTTTAGATATAAAGCTTATGACTTACCTCCTCAAGAAAATCATTGCAGACTTTGTCCTAACAATCTCGAAAAAGAGGTAACATTCAACGATACAATGCATTTACTGTCAAAAGACCCCATATTGTTTACCGTTGTTAGACATCCACTGGACAGATTTCTTAGCGGCTTTGTTAACAAATGTATTCGGTAAAGGCGTTGTAGAGTTTCTAATCTCTCTATAGTCGTGGGCATTTTAGAGAAAAAAGGCCGCCTGGAGAAAAGTGTTTTGGGTGTGAAGACAACATGAATTGTTTTATTGAGAGGCTATATGCAAATCTAATTGCGTATTACACAAAATCTAAAAATCTCACAAAATCTGAAATATACTATATTCGCCATTTTGCTCCTACAAACTGGTAAGCCACCCCAGCAATTTTACTTTCATTACAATTCATGGCTGTTGCCTCAGGTATTGCGATTTAAGTAGGAGTTACGACAAATTAATAATTTTGCGGTATGACATTCTGGAAAGAAAAAAGCTAGCAGCTGACTTCATTGCTGTGCTTAGCCAAGCGAGAGTACCACTAGATCAAAGAATGTATATTCGAGGAGAGCTGCTCAGTAGGTTTAATTGTGCATTAATGAGAATCTTGAATGTTTTCACCAATCAGTTTGGAACTTTGTTCAGGACGACTTCCCATACACTCTACTTCAAACAGTGAAGAACGAAGGGATGTTGAAAGAAGACTTTTGACTGATCTACGTGCCCTTTGCATTTTCACACAAATTTACTACTATGACTTTGTAATATTTGATTATGATTTTCCAACGCAGCTATGCTTCTGTTAATGTTGATAATGAAAATACGTTGACTATGGAGATATCCTTTTGTCAACGATATGCGGAGTCAAAAGGGACACATTTGGTCAAAGCAATGGATTCTATTATGGATTTATGTCTTTTCCTAGAAAAAATACGATATCCTCTTTTTCCTTCGAATGTAAATGAACCTAAAGGCCCGGCACAGCTGCATCCGGTTGTAACAGAATATCCCTTTCGGAAGCTAGCAAAGAGCATATCGTTTTGTAGAAAGGATTGAGGAGATCCAAAAGAATCGCACATGCATCAGAATTACTTCCACATTGATGAATTTTAGAAAAATTTCATCCCCGACTCAACTTGAACGAGTCAATATAGGGCCGTTACGTAAATGTTCTAAATTGTTGTCGCACATCTCTGGAACTCGAAATCGCATCCTCAAACAAAGAAATGTCTTGTTCAGCCAAAACTTGTTGCTATGACGCTAAGCTCATGATGTGAACATTCGCATGAGTAAACTCGAACTATAGCCGAAATACTCATGTTATGTGGCTGGAAGCGGTTCCTAACTTTTTTTCGAATATGACCATTGCTACTGCTAACCAAGTCGACCTGGACCCGATCTAACTAGGGGAGGTCCCAAAATGCATACCATTTAGATACGTCTTGCTGAGCTGAATTCAAATTCAACTTCCTTATCTGCTGCGGGATTTCCTGAAAAATTGTGAGCGTCTGAAAGTTCAGATATGGCAAGCTTTCAGTAGCGTCCCTTCAAGTTATTTCTCTAAGAGCACTTACTCGTTTTTCTGGTTGATGTGTGCATTCATTGTAGTCAGCAGACTCAACACCTTACCAGCCATGCACTCCTAAGCTGGATTCAATGCACATTATGCATTAGAAACATGATATCTTCACATCTTCAGCCACTCATAAGTTCTAGGAAATCCCGCAGCGAATAGTGAAGGTAGGTTTGAAATTAGCTCAGTGGAAGGAGTCTAACGATACGCATTTCAAAGTTCGTCACTACGACCTGGGATCCTCCCCTTGTAAGAAAATTCATTCTCTTTTGGTGCGATCCTGCTCCGATCGCAAAGCTGCTCCTAGGACCAGCGCGTATGTTTCGTTTTCAGCAGGTGTTCGTTGTCGTTGGCCTTCTCTTCAAGATTTCTAGAATAAGTTGATCATTGTTTTGTGCTTATGTAAAACAGTTAAAAAGCTTTAGAATGACCACAAATTCTCTTTTATCTCACCGATGATTTTGAAAAAAAACACGTCGAAATGGACCAAAACGTGTCAATTTTTTCGTGACACGTGGCAAGGAAGCAGTCATCGTAGAATCTATGAAAAATTATTCCTAGACTAAAGAACGTATATATGAGTATACATATATATATATGAGTATAGTAATATGAGAGCCTTTCTAAAAAATGGGTCCGGATAACGGAAAAGTACCCTAAATTTCGTAGAAGGTGACTTCGTAAAGTACCCACAGATTGAAGGGACTTAGTTTTCTGAAGACAAAAGGGCGACTCGTGTCGGGACTCCACATCTATCGTACGAGTCCGAGCGCGCTTTTTCGTAATCTTTCAAAGTTGCAAATTCGGCTACGGGTAATACTCCGCCTAACGCTTCATTTCCGACTAGTAGGGCAAAAATGCAAATCGTGTAGCTCAAAAAATAGTTTACAAACCTTTAAGTATTCGGGGCAATTACCTAAGCATGCAACGTCGAACAGAGAAGAACGGAAGGATGTGGAGAGAAAGCTTTTTAATCGCCCACATCTCCTTCTCTTCCTGTTACATATTGAATATTATGAATTTATAATTTCCAATTACAGTTTTCCAAAGGAAATAGATGCTTGTTATCGTCGTTGTCAAAGCAAAGCGCTGCAAACCAACTTCAGCTTCCTCAATCGCAAATTGAGCAAAGTTGATAGCATATGGTATCTAGTTCGAGCGCGACTGGCATTGCTTTTTGGAGTTTAAATAACCTTTGAACTAATGAATGAATGAGATAGTCTTTATTACAGCATGAAAAAAAAGCACGATATACCGGTACATTGGATATTATGGAGTTTCAGCAAAATAATACATAATCATTGCCTATTGCTATCACTAAACCTTTAAGTCACCGTATTTTTATGAATCATGGATAGAGGACATTAGGTCGTCGACAGGGAAGGTCCCGCGCGGACTTCCGCAACAAATGCGCAGTTCTCTCCACGGCAGCTGGTGTTAGCTGTTCGCGTGGGTGGACCTTTTTGACAACCTATTGTCCTCTACCCTGACTTATGTGACCATGCAGGTACCACAACAGACTGAGATATAGTAGAAGTGGAAAAGAATGCAGGTACTTCTTGAAGGCTGGCTTGCATCAAGGCTGCAACTTTCATGAACAGTTACATAACATTCCTGATTTTGTCATGTCTTTACTCACCACGTTTTTGTAACCATCGGCCAAAAGTACAGTCATCCATATAGATACTGTCAACAACAGTCCCAGGGCGAAGAATACCAACGACAATCGGATGGATTTCAACTGCAAACATAGTGGGATTATCAGCGAATGCGAAGAACGTTGTTCAGGCTGCACTCAGAGTTCGTGCCAGCACCGTGCCAGAACTCTCTCGGCGGGGTTGATAGGAGCGTCCATTTGGGTTTCAGCATGGCTCCAGGAGGGCGCTGGCACGGCGCTGGCACGGAAAGGTCGTGACTCTGGACGCAGAATAAGATGTAGTAAACTGACTGGATCGCCATTTCCCTTGTCATGGTCATGCCTATCCACTGTGCTGTTTAAGAATATGAATAGAACAACCAGTGTTATGAGTATAACTGATGGTGAAAGAACTAGCACAAGCTGTAGCTCATGTTGCTGCCAAATTTTGAATTGTAACGCTGTGATAGCTGTTGCGGCAGCTAAAATGGTTTTGTATTTTACACATTTGTCCTTTCTTCTGATGTATTTCTTACTTGCGAGGGCAAAAGCCACGACTCCAATAAGACGATGACTCCAGTTGAACATGCGTCGTAAAGGATGGACTGGTGCACATCTAAAGATTGTCATTGTTTTCAAAATTGTTCACAGAAAAGTGAATTTTACCTCAGCAAGCTGCCGAAAGGTTGCAACCAAGCTAATATCAATGAGATTAGGCCTAGCAGAGTATGGATTTGAGTCCAGTATTTACTTGATGACCCTGAAATCTGATGTTACTTAGTTCGAATTGCGCTCAAAGTTCACTTATTCACCACTATGTGTCCAAACAATGATTGTATTAAATTTGAAAAACCTTTTGGAGTCTCATGAAGCGATTGCCCACAATTTAGTCGAATCTCCTCCTTTTAAAAAGCCATAAAATTACCACAAAATTACCAGACTCCGATTCTAGGTACTGCCCCCAGATCACCCTTCCTGATACTCTGCTCACCTGGGCCAGTCCATCGCCAGTCTTTACACACCAATATGCACACAAAAGAGGCAACCATCATTGCTATTCCTATAAGATTGCTGACTCGATGGACCTGAAATGGATTTGGCTTAGAAAGCACAAAAACATATCTTTGTCTCCTGCAGTTGATTTTCTTCTTTCATTTTCACTTCATTATAGAACTTCACTTCACTTCACTTCATTCCCTCTACATGCATCTATTTTGAGCTTATTTTAGCTCCGCTCCCTCTTGGCAAACTCCGCCCACCCTAGTACCCCTACAAGAACTCTTTTCGTGCACAATGTACATCATAGATGACCGCGAAAGTACAACCGACTTCAACTCCGTCTCCGCTTCTCAGTGACAAGCTTCCAGTTGCCAAAATTTGCCGGATGTATGGGTGGGCGGAGTTCGCCACAAAGGGCGGAACTGTCCTGCCAACCCTATATATGTACACTACATATCTAGAAGCATAAATGCATACATGCAAACATGAGTACAAGTGCATGAGTTAATCTCGTATCAGATATAATTCATCAAAAATAAGGCCCACATCCATCTGTTAACGTATAAGGAAATGCTGGCTGACCTGGAACCACAGGGCAACTCCACAAGGTTTTACGCCTCTGAAGGCAGCTTTCAAGAATCGAGCAAATAGAAACGCTGTCGGAATGAAGAAAAACCAGGCAAGCACCATGAGAATAGCTAAATTGACAATGTTGAGAAAATGCAGAAACTTAGACGAAATGATTTTCGAACTTACCATGCGCTTTGACCAATCTTCGCCTTGTCGTGACATCTAGACTATACTGCTTGGATGGTGGTGGGTACAGTACAGGGGCATTCAGGGCTAACGGACTTGATGTGAATCTTTTTTCCACAATTCTCTCGCCTAGATTTTCAGAAAATAGATCAGATAGAAAAGAAGTAAACAAGTAACAAACCCGCAATTTTACCATGCTCATCCATACTTCTTTCAAAAAGTTAAAATTTAATCGTGAAAAATTTTCTCTGATACAATTTCTTTCGAGGATGTAGCGTCGCAACACTTTTTTCAGTCCAAAAAATTTTTTTCTTGTGGCGCCAAAAAATGAAAACTGTCTTTTTAGTACAACTACCAAACACTCTTAAGAATTTTATTCAAGCTTGCGCCATGTTTTCCAAAAAAAAACGATAGTCAAACTCTTAAAACCACATTTTTTTATAAAATGAATTTCTTAACATAATTTTATCTTCCCGACAATTGTCCCCCCCCCCCCCCACCCTCTTTTCCATCCGCATCCCGCTCATTCAATATTTACTCAAGAGTGTGTGATATGATGCAGATCTATCTTACCTTGCTCAATTGGTCCCTCCGTGATCGTGATTGTGTACTGAGCGGACGGGTCATAGCTGAGGAACTGCAAAGAGCATATTTTTAGCTTTGGAAGATTCTCTACAGCAAACTAAACACTTATTTTACTATAGCTAAGCTTCTATCGGTCTTACAAGAGGGAAGACGTCGGCTGGGTGACTAAGGGTAAGGAGCGAAGGCTTCGTGCAGCGATCTTCTTCAGGATCTTTTGCCAGCGATCGTACTGGACAAAGGGACATCTATGTAAAACTAAGCTAACTCTAAGGCTAAGGTTACTAGGTGAGATACCAAAGCTCTGAATGTGAAAAATTTCTGACACGAACAATTGCGAATTTTTTATGCGCCAAAGAAGAGAAATTTGGATCCGACTCGGGAGTTTTTTGCCAGAAATTTCCCAACCGATTGTTAGTAATTCGAGTCTTAAAAGGAGTCAGCCAGTGCAATTTGGCAGCGAAATTAAACTCACATTTGGATCATCATGTCCTTTAACGAGCACTTTAGCACGACAATAAAGTGTACCATTATCGAACGACGTTGTAACATTTGAAAAATAGAATACTCGTTGTGTACTCTAAAAGAAAACAGAATATATTTTTTCCGAGATAACACATGCTACTAGTTTTCTTCAAGGATTCCTCTCAAACTAACTTCATAGGCAAAAATAATAATTTTCAAACAACTCACTGTATTCGACGAGTCCCTTGCGGACGGAGCATTTATAGTCGGTGGCAAGCCATTCACAGCAGAGCATTCAATAGTGGGCTAGAAAAAGAACGTGAGAAAATTAGAAATAAATAAACATTGGCATTTGTCATACGCAAAAGAGCTGTGGGTAAATTGCAAAAAGAAGAAGTGGATGAACAAGGTTGAAAATTATACCAAGTGATAAATCTTTTTGACGATCGACCATTAAGTCATATCATACTAGGAACTCTCAGTCTCTACTCTCTCTCAAAATTAACTTGTACAAAAATCCGGGAAACATTTCTGTGGTTTCAGAAACTTCTTGTTGATAGCGCTATGAGATTTTGCTTCATTCCTCCACCCTCCCCCCCCCCTCCCCCTACCTTCACCCCCTTTCTGCTATTAATACATTTAATTTCATGGCTCACCCATTTGATCATATGATGTATGTTTATAAGCAATGACTCACGGTGTCGGGACCACCGCTTCCAAAAGCAACTGCCATGAAATGATTAGTGGACTCCACATTAGCGCTCATCTCGACCTCTACGTGGGTATCGGAGACGACTTGATAGGAGAATGCTAGCCCAGGCTGAGGAATGTAACAGCCTTTCGTTTTACCGCATTCTTCAGCGTTGAAGGCTTTTTGAGCGAAGATCTGGAAAAAAGTTCATTCTGAAAACAATCTGCTGTACACTTTTGTGATAGGAAGTAGTTGTAGAATTGAGTGAGAAAAATTCAATAATATCTAAATCTCTATTATTAGACACAAGTTATACGATTGTCAAATCGAACTGTATTTACTGGTTAATCCTAAGATATTTTTTACATATTATTCAAATTTTAGCTTTGGTGGAAAAATTTCTTCGCTAGGCCCCACTTTTTATGAATTTGAGTGTCGTCATAGACTTGCAAAAAATTTGACAACGCCCCAATCTGTCCGTCCCTGAAAAGTTTTTCATTGAAACGACTGCCACTACTGAGAATAATGGAAGAACAAAATCGTCACTTACAATTGTGCTAAAAAGCAGCAATCCGAGGCCGATTCTCGTTAACCGCTTCATCGTTTTATCTGAAAACAAGCTACACTTTCAAGTAGAAAAAGCGCTTGGTGGACTTGTACGGTATGAGATCAGGATAGCCAGTTTATAGGAGAATATATTGGTGAACAAATAAACAACAAGGAACTAGTATCGCCGGTGCGTTTATCTTTCTTGCAAGGGCAGATGTCCGCTAGAAAACATTGTGCCGTAAAGTGCAAATATATCTAGGCTAAATCATCATATGACTAGTGTAAAATGGAGTGCTGAATGTTTTGTCAATATACGTCGCTTTATCCTATTGAAAAATTACAGAAAAAATTACAAAGCTGGATTAATCGATTTTTAATCTTAACATCACTGGAATAGATGTTCTATTAGTCACAACTTTTTGCTGGGTAAACAAGAAAGAGCAAACGAGAATTGCATTTTCTGCTTGGTTTTAAGAATTCTAACATATCTAAAGATGCAGTTCCTTATTCCAATTTTATATTTGTGAATATTTTACAAAATTACTCCAAAATAGTCATTAAGCAATGTCTTTCATCGTTTTGAGCTTCATTGCAGATCAAATATTTTCCAATTGCTGCAACCCTTCTCAAACATCAGAAATGGTTACCAATCAGGATCCATCATTTTCTGCCAAAATTATTTGTGATCATAACGATTTAGTCATTTCTTTGTTGCAGGCTGTGGTCCACAAAAAACGGTTCATTGATTCGCACTGCACTGGCAGTGCCTTTGAATAGATGAAGGACAAGGAAGAAAAACCGAAAATTGAAGGTGGATTGTCGAGACCGCACAGAATTTTCAATGTTAGCGTACAAAGTCTCCATAAATGCAAAGTAAAAGCAGAAGAGGTGGCAGAATGTCCCTGACGAAGTGCGTATTGCTGTAAAGTATGCGTAATGGGTGAAGAACGCAAATAAGCATGCAAATTCTTCTTGTTCCATTTTATGAATCCCAATCCCACCGAAATGTTGTTTATAGTTTCCAGCCTGATAAATATACTCCCAAGATTTGTGACCCAAGGCGCTTCTCACTATCATTGCGGTATAAGTAGTTACCAAAACCGTTACATAAAGAAACTGTCTCAAGATTTCTGACAAAATGATTTTTCTCATTACATTGTGAGCAAAATATTATTCTTTACTGATACAGGGTTAGTTTTGGAACAATTTTGTGAAATTTGGAAGAATTTCATTGGCATAAAGTAAAACACGAAAACATGAAATGAACTGAGCATAGATTAAATAGAAAATACATCACATACAAGTGACTACGCTGTTTTCTCAAATTTTCAAGTGTCTACTGTGTACACTATTTTCTCAAGCAATGCCTTCTTTTTTGAATTAATCCAAAAACTGCCCTAGACAACATATTAGTTAGATATTTATTGTAAACTAATGATTTGCCCATTCACGTTACGAGTGTCTTATAGGCAAAAAAATTCAATGAGTATCGTAGATATGATGACTATTTTCGAGTGAGAGAAATTGTTAGGAACAAAAATTTTTACATTTTTAAGCATCGTGAAGAATATTTAATTCCTTGGATCAACAGATAAAACACAGGAGTTTTTTTTTGCCAAAATTTTTTGAGCTCAGCAGGAGTCCCTGGAGTGGGTCTAATTATAAATTCGTATATTTCGATATTGATCTTTCAGAAAATTTTCGACAAGAAATTAGTACACTGAGAAATACGCAGCAGGAGTGCCGAGCCGAACGCAAACGACAAATGGCTGAAAAATCTCCGAGGTCAGTGCCGGTGGAGTGCTCTGCCGTGTTTGCCCAATGTGTGTCCAATTAACTCTTGTTCGAATGCAGTTCATATAGGGCAATTCAGGTGAACAAATTAAAAAGGACGTGCTTTGCGATTTTTACAATCGACATAACCCTTTCACCAATATTTGTCTCAAGGACAACTTATTACAGCAGCATGTGGCATGTACATAAGAAGCTGTTGTTTGGCCATTGCGTGGCGAAAGCAGAAATTTCTTTCTCATGCTCTTTCAAAAAGTATTCAAGTTTACGTCTAGAAATCTTTTCTGGATCTGCACCGCAACTGCTAAATGGCCCAGGGAGTGTTTGCCTGACACACATACAATCTTTTGAAATAAAGTGCAAGATGTTACAAAGGGAAAATTTTTTCGACATAATCAGAAAGTACAATACGGATTATTCTATATCAGACAACGTACAAAAACCACAGTTTTTTCTCTTAATATAACCAAAAAAGTCATTATATGATTTTGCCCTAGTATGTTGAGAAAATTCGCATAACATATTTCTTTGGGTTTCAGAATTTTATAAGATTATTGGCTAGCCGAACTAAGGTAGAGCAAATAATTTATTTGAATTGAAGCCCGATGAGAGGGAAGTAGTAAAATGTGCACTAAGTTAACTAGGCATAACAGCCATAAATCAAGCTCTTATAGATTATCTTATCGCCCTAAATTCTGTAGAATTCGCTCGCCGCACGTGTGAAGTACAAAGTTTAGACTTCGAACTTTGCCAAAGACTACGTAAGCAGCAAGAGCGGTAAATGCTTAGGCGCACCAAAATTTACACGGCCTGATTACGCCATCCATTGTAAGGATTGCCAGCTGTATAAATTCTGCTTACAAAGAGAATGTATCAAAGTCAAATTTCTTCAGAACTTTGAACCGAAGAAATGGAGTAAAAAGTTTTAGAGAGATGCCAAGAGATTTTACAGCAAATAGATATTATGTAGGCTAGAATAGTTGCTGTCAAGTTCAGCTTACAATGCCATAAGAATATTTAGCAAGCTTAAATTAACG